TTAATTTAGCAAGCTTTTTTTTTCAAAAACATTTTTGTGTATTTTTTATTATTATTTTTTGTGTTTTACAGATGTTTTTTTATTTCTACTTTCATATTGACTTTAATGAATTGTATACTTTTCGATTTGCATTTTAGAATTTATGAAATCAAATTATTTATATAATTACATTTCATGAATTGATATAAAAAAATCTGATGCAGAAATGAAACTTTATACCTGAAAATAAATGTTTCCCCATATATATTTCTTTTATTTATTTGGATTTTGGTTAGGTTTTTGTATTTTCAAAAATAGCACACACATTTGATTGTTTTTTATACGTTATTATTCAGATTTAGTTTTAAGAATTAAGATTTTTTTTATTATTGTGTTTAACACATCACACTCTCTACTTCTGGAGGCAGACTTTGATCTTGATTAAGGAGTAAAGATGTTTTTCTACTGCACTGATTGTTTGTTTTGAGCTTCAAGTAAAGAGAATGTGACCTAATATGACCCAAAAACAAAATTAGAAAAAATAAAAACATTTCAAAATATTAAATCCCCCCCCAAGAAGTATTCATAAGAAAATCAGACAAAACATTTTCTCAAAACCTTTTTTTTTTTTTTGTTAATAGAATGTTTTTCATTTGAATTTTCCATTAACATGTTCTTCTTTTCAGCAATAATGGAACAAACTTCCCTCCATAAAAAGCTTCTGTCCAGATTAGAAACGGCGTCTGATCACTGACTCACCCCGGCCACGTCTGGTTGGGCTCATAGAGAATCAGCAGCGTAGGCTCGTAGTAACCGTGAAGGAACTTCATGTCGACGATGTTCAGCAGCTTCTCGTCTAACTCGCGGACGTCGATGATGTAACTGGGCAGGAAGCTGGACTTGGGTCTGTTAAGGGTTTAAACATAAAGGACATTATTATCATAACCCTGAGGAGCAACAGGGGAGGAACAGGAACTCAGTCCTACCCTTCCCCGACTCCGCCTTCCTGCTCATCGGTTAGCGTGTCCTTCCTGAACGGCAGCACCACCAGCTTGGTGCCGTAAACCAGCATGACGGCGCAGCGGTTCTCTGGATCGACCCGGACTATGGGGATGTGGACGTTCTGCACGAAGCCATCCTGGAGATGCAGAAAAATAAAAAATTTAATCCCCTGAAACATTTCATACTTTACTTTAGGTTCTTGTTTAACTCCTGAAAACTAAAACAAGCTTCACACCATGAGGAATTTACACCACAGGTTGGCCAGCTCTTAAACAATAAGACTCCAGCTAAACCATGGTATTGGGTTATTGGAAAAAACATGGTAAAAAAAATGGATGGAAGAGGATTAGGGCCACTAAAAAAAAAAAGAAGTTTTATTTCAGTATAATATGAGAAAATTCTCAGAATTCTGGATCTTAATGTAGATGGGCTCTATGAAGGAAGGAATGCACTCAGCTTCACTGACAAAGATGTGTAACATATTGGTGGAAAATGATGGAATTGGGCGACTTTCCACGTGCCCGAGGGGTCCCTCATGATGCTATTTCATTAATGGAAGAGCAGAGGTGATTATAAACAAGAGAACTAGTCTCTAAAACAGACATGGATATGGATTGATGCTAACAGGTTTGTTACCTGTCAGAATTCTGAGAAGAAAGTCAAAATTCTGACTTTTTTTCTCATACTATACTGAAATAAAATTTAAAAATCAATTAACTTTTTTTATTTTCAGTGGCCTTAATACTCAGTTAAGTCAGTTAAAGTCATGCTTTAGAGTTTTTA